TCTCCATGGCGCCGGGGGCGGTGTCAGTGGCGCCCGTGGCGGTTTCAATAGCCCAGCAGCTGGGAGGTATCACTATGAGCCACGCCACCACACCCATGGTGACGTACCCCATTGCCTCGCAGAGCATGAGGATAACGGCCATGCCACACTAACCGCCCCCCTAAAGGGCCTCATGCACCGCTGTGGCTCCGTGCTGTTCGGAGCCGCCCACAGCAGGTGGAAGGGCTCCATCGCCGGCGGGACTTGCTCGTTCCTTTGGGGAGACAGGAACCAAGAAGGAAGAATCCAAATGTGAACCAGAAAACCCTTGGAACCCTCTCTGTCGTTAGGGAGAGGTCTTTTAGGAGACGGGCTTTCCACCCTGCAGGCGAGTGACTTGGATTTCCATGAACCCATAGCAACTGCGCATGGTCTTCCACAAGGCAGCAGAATTCAGGGGTGAAGGGCTTCATTCCACATGATTCGAAGGGCACAGTAACCTCAGAGCCTGGGTGTGTCACTTGTATCTTTGCCCGAATACCCGCCCCTCTGTACCCACTGTGCTGGCCCCTCCATAGCCCCGCGAGTTCAGGAAGTCAGTATATCGCCTGGCTGTGGCAGTATCATTTCACTGTCAGGACTCACCAGGATAGAGGCTGCCCTCTTTCCCACCCTCCCCTCGGCCCCACCTGGTCCCCTGCTTTCTAGTAGAGAGAGTCCCGGCTTCCCGGGGCTCAGGCAGAATGCGGGAAGTGAGACCCTGGGGACAGTGCCTCCCCCAGAGATAGCAGAAAGGCCGGTTGTGTTCTTCATACCGACCGACAGCCCTCTTTTAGGGAATGACCATGGTGTGGCTTTGCCTGGTGATGAGCTGGTTAAATCCCAAATAGGCTTTGGGCTCCTGTACGTACTGAGTCCTGTTGCTTTAAAACTGGGCAACACAACCTAGGCTCTAGCCAGCCATGTCTGGGGTGGCCCTGAGAGCATCCCTGTTTCAGTCCAGGCTGCTTGTTCTCAGGACCATCTGAACCCCAAAGGTGGAGCGGGGCCTCGCCAGTGCCAGCAGATGCTGTTGCTGACTTGATCATAAAGCCCAGGGTTCAAAATAAGCCCAGCTGCGCCCTCCAGTCTGATGGGGGTGGGCCGCTAGTTAAATATGAAACTAAACAGCTCAGGTGAGGCTTGCATTGTGCGTGAGGTAGCAGGTTGAAATAAAATCGTCAGTTGCTTTGTGAATGGTCAGGGCTTCTCAGGGGCTGGCTCCCAAGGCATGGCAGCTCGCTGAAAGGGGTCTCGGGCAGCAATCCTGCCAGGCCCTTTGCCATCCACCAGCTGCTTCTGTACCTGAGCCTCCCCATCCCCCAAGACTTCCATCTGCCTCTTGAGGCTATTTTCTCCGTTCACCCCATTCACACGTCCTCAGAGGAAACCTCCCTCCTTCTCTCTCTGGTTTTTTTTTGTTTTTGTTTGTTGGTTTCTAAAACCGAAGCTCACCCATGGGTCTGGACTGGCTTTTGTGTCGTTAGGTCTGGTTTTGGTTGTTTTTTTGTTCTAAGGAGAATGGAAAGAAAAGGAGAGCGCTTTACAGAGGGCGCTCCCACAGATGCTGACCTTTGTAAGTCTAGCGTTTTAGTTCTGTGACTACAATGTAAAGTTTGCAGCTATTAAAAGAAAAAATCTGCCGCCCCAGCGGATGTATTCTAGTGTTGACGCTCCCTTTAAGGCGTTGGTTAGCTACCAACGGGGACATGTCGGAACACAAGCAAGGGATGGGAAATCTCTAAACCCCTCTGAGATGTAAGGGTATGCAGCCACCTCTGGGGTGGAATGCAGCAGCTGTCAGCATTGCTACAAGCTGGAGTGACCCATGGCATGGTTAGTTAGGATCAGGAGCTCTGCTTTACATCTCTGCCAAAAGATGGCAGCACCACATTGGTGTGTGGCTTCCTTGCTGAGTCAGGAGAGCACCACCTACTGGATTACTCCAGGTCTCTTCTCGCAGTTTTCTTGAAGATCTATACCAGGGCTGAGCTGGCCACGGTTCCTCTTAGCGTGTGATAGGCGCTGACCGGTCGCAGTGCGGAATGGTTCGGATTGGCCTGTCACCCCTGCATTTGCAAGAGCCTCCTGCAAACAAGCGTTCTCCAGTCTAGGCGCCGAGTAACCTGAGCTCTCAGCCACCAGGACAATCCCGTTGCGTCGGTTGCGTCTGTCGAGGAACTGCCGCATCCAGTGGCATAGCGCTGGTGCTCATCCGGGTTGACCAGCTTTGTCTGTGTAACGTGCCACGTCTCCGTTATCGGAAGACCCTTTCTCCCTGTCTGCCTCTAGGATTTGGTTTCAACAAGCAGGGCAGGAAGATGGGTCAAGTGACTGAGCTGGTGGGGAACCCTAATGGTTGTCCCACCATGGGTGGGGCACTGAGATCTTTAGGGGAATCATTATTAGCAGCTGCCTTGCTGCCCAGGTAAATTGCTCAGAGCATGGCGACTGCTGTCCTCCCCCTCTTCGCTGCTGGCTGTTACCCCCCAAGGACTTGGTCAAAGCTTAAAGGGCAAACTCCCTTCTCTGGAGGTACAGCTCTAGCTCCCTGGGGGGCTCCTCCAGAGAGGTGCAGTGTGTAGGGGCTGTGTGGTGTTAGGGGGCCTGCAGGAGATTGTGCGTGGAAGTGAAGCTCTTGGCGCTCTGCACCTGCACCCTCATACATGGGACAGCAATGGCCCTGAAAAGCAGCTCTCCAGGGACCAGGTGTGAAGGGCACGAGACTGTACAGGCCTCTCACTGGTGCTGGCCAGGCTGCAGCCTGCCCCCCTTGCTGCGGCAAAGGACCCACGGTTACAATTTCCTTTTGCCCAGCTCCCCGCTCTAACCCCCAGGTCAGATCTTCAGGTGAGACTGCTGCTGAAGCAGGGAGACCCCATCAGGCTCCCATTGTGCTGCAGCAACAGGGCGAGGGGGTAAAGCCCCCGCTCGTTTCGGCTTCCCCCTTGTGTTTACAAGTAGGCAGCTCCTTGGAGCTTCTGAGCCAGTCAGGGTGCTGTGCTCAGATCACCCAGCCCAGCCCTTCACAGGCAGGTGTCATCCAGCCATGCATCAGGGGATTACATTCTAAGGCCAGAAGAGACCAGGGAGGTTGTCTAGTCTGACCCCCATACAACAGAAAACTCCCCCACACTATTCCTAAGAGCAGAGCTTTTCGAAAACGATCCTGTGAGCATTGTCTCTGCTGGAGGAGCTCTCCTGAGCCTGGGTAACCTGCTGCGTTACCCTCATTCCTGCATATTTACCCTTTATTTCCAGGCTTTGTCTAGCTTCAGTTTCCAGGCTTTGTCTAGCTGTGGGGTTGTGGTATTCCTTCATCTGCTAGACTGAAGAGCCTGTTCACAAATAGAGGAACTTGCAGACTGAGCAAGTCACCTCTTCACCAGCTCAGTCGATCTGTGTCTTTATTACTGAAAGCAATGGAGCGATTTTCACTGTCTCCATCAGTAGAGCCCAGCAAATCCGCAGCTACCTGCTCTCTTCCCATGGGTCTCCGTGGTGGGATACAGATGTGATAGGGTTAAAATAAGTAACTGTATACCTGTTAAAAACCCTATTGGTTACATGCAGTGAGGGCTTTGTACTATAACTCTTATACCACAGAACCTGCAGCCCAGCCAGCTCCCCAGTCACGTCAGCTGCTGGGTGTGGGCTTACAGTACAAATCGGATCCCAGTGCACATGGGCTCCAGCTGCCCCACCCCACCCCAAGGTGCAGGCTCTGATACTGCAGAGCCCATTGCCTGGGCTGGCAGCTGGCTCCGTAGGAGCTGGTGGGCAGTGGTGAAGAGTTTTAACTGTAACAGAAACTGATAATCATTTATACAGTTACATTCTTACATCCTGAGGTGGTTGCAGATACAGAATTTGTATCCGCACAGGACTCTATGCATTAGGGCTAGGGATGTGAATGACTAGTCAACTGATAAGAAAATGCTTATCGGATAGTTGACATACAAGTCGACTAGTTGCTTTCCCCCCTTGCTGCCTCTATCAGAAAGAGGCGGGGAGAAAGGGGTGCTTCAAAGCAGCAGTGTTGTGTGGAGCCTGTGGCCAGACCCTGGGCTCCACATGACACTGCTGCTTTGAAATGCTGTGGGGAGCATGGGGCCAGCAGGGAGTAGCCTGTGCTCCCCGCGTCACTTTCACTTTTGAAGTGTAGCAACAACCCTGAGGCCGTTGCTACACTTCAAAGGCAGAGGCGGCCTTATCGACTAATCGAATAGTCCATGCAGATTGCATCGACTATCTGATTAGCCGATTAATTTAAATTTACCATCTCTAATTATGGTGAGTTTGATGCAAATTGAAGCTCAAAGCTGTTGACTCCTTTGGTCTGTGCTGGCTGCTTCTCTGACTTTATGCCAGTAGTGGGTTCCCAGCTGGCATCCTGGTTCCCTGTGTGCTACAGGCCATCCTCGCTGTAAGTCAAGATACGTTCGAAAAAACTTGGACTTACATCGAAACAGCTTAAAGTGGGGAATTTTTTCCTGTGGCTGACTTCCATTTGTGCAAATTGTGGAGTTTTTTTTGTGCGACTTAACAGCGGGGAATGGGAGGACTTATAACCCATCGGTTCCTACAAGCGTCGATTACTTTAGTGTGGAACGGATGTATTCCAGGGCGACGTATAGCAGGGACGTCCTGTATCCTATGCCGGATTTGCCTGGAGCGCACAGTAACCAGACTTCCCTCTCAGCCAGTACAGCTCTATGCTAGAAGGGACTGGGTGTGACAGAGAGGTATGCAGAGCACATCTTGGCTGGATGCTGCTCTTTGCAGATTGGTGGTGGTTAGAATAACGTGTGCGAACCCTGTTCTGCCTTGAAGCTTCAATAAACTAGACACCTTTTGCCCTGAAAGGCAGCCAACACAAGGCACCAGCTCAGCCCAGAAAGGAGGGCTGGAGACCTGGAGTGTCTGTGGAAAGATCTGCCACTGACTAGCTCCCCTCCCCCCCACTTGAATAGGGGGTGAGCTCATTGGATCAACCAAGATTCCAGTGTGTGATTACAGGAAGTCTAAGCATTGGAGTTCCTTAAACCGTGGCCGCTGGCAACAGATCCCTGCCCTCCCACCTTCACGTGGGCGGAGCCCGCTCAGGTTCTGGGTTGCTTTGCAAATAAGAAAGTTGTAGGGTCCTAATAGGCCTGGAAGCAACAGCCCCTGTCTTCCCCCACTGCCCTGTGCTCTAGTGCACCAGACCCAGCCTTTGTTAGCAATGCACTGCTGCAGGCAGATGGCACCAGGCCTTCCCTATTGCTAGGGTTATTTATGTTTCAGCAGCTGGATTGGAAGCCTGGTAAGCTGTTGCCAAGGCCCAAGGGATGAACTTTCAGCGGCGATGGTGTATTCAGTAACTCAGAGCTGGCTTTAAATCCCCAGGGTTTTGTTTAACTGAGGAGCCTCTAGGCTAGCAATGCAAACACGTACCTGGAAAAGCAATTACACTGTTTGCAGAAGAGACGCTTGCAGCTCATTTTTACAGGCAACGCTGTTTGGCCAAGTAATATGCAGAGCTGGTCTTTTTCCACTTCTGGAGTCAAGTGGTCAGATAGCAGAGGATGTACCTAGTTCTTTGGAAACACCTGGGAAAACAGCCATTCAGACTGGGGGGGAGGGGGAGACATGTTCATGGAGATGGGGGGATTCTGTAGACGATGGAAGGATGATTTCTTATGCGTTATGAAGAAAGTCTGCTTTATCCCTGCCACGTGGTTCTGTAGCAGTTAAAATGGGGGACTGGAAAGCAGGACTCCTGGATTCTGCTTCCAAACTTGAAGGAGTGTTACCAAGTGGTTAGAGCAAGGGGGTGGGGAAGTGGGACTGCTGTTTGTGCAATTTTTGGCATGCAGTGTGGCTTTAGGAAAGTAGGGGGTAGAAAAAGCCCAAATCACCCGATTGGAGTGTTCACCTCCTTGGAATAGATTTTTGTATTGTTACCTCATGAGCGCTCATCTCATTTGAGCACAAAGAAGCTCTACTCCCCCGTGAATTCCCCTTCTCCTCCGTTTAAAAGAAACATCTTCAAGCCACAGGGGGAGTGGGGGACAATCTGTATGCCAGCTGCTCCAGCTGAAATCAGATGCCTGCAGGAATAGTACTCTTGGAAATCTAGTTTATATAGAGAACTTGGAGAGTAAAAACGGGGATTAGGTAACCTGTAAAAGTGGAAAGCCAGAATGGCTGGTGCAGTCCACTGTGGACAAGAAAAGCAGCTTTGCTCATCACAGAGCTTTGCTCTGCAAGGAAGAACAGATAGCCTGGCCGCAGCTGGGTGGCTGCCAGCAAAGCTTTTAGCAAGATAAGAGTTATAACAAGGAGTCGCTTAAAAATGCAGGTTGTGGAATCAGGAATTTTGCCCTGAGAACAATGTGGAAAAGAAACAATGTCCAAGGCAGCTGGCTAAGAGACAGAACTGGACTGGCTTCTCAGCTGGACCAACTGGCCTGCATGGCCTTGGGCCTCCTCTCTATGGCTTGGTCTAAAGCAGCCACAAAGATACTCTCAGGCTGTTGCAAAGTATGTGCAGATCGCTAGATAAGAATTGAATTCATCCTGTCCTGTGACAACCTTCCCCAGGCTTCAACATTGCAGAAGCCACACAGGAAGGTGGGTGGGGAAGGGTTTGTCACATCCCTCTCATG